TGCCCAGATAACAGAAATGGTATTTAATTCCCGGATTATTAATATAAAAACATGAAATTTAGATATTTGCATAACAGAAATAATTTCTGAAAAAATACCAAGTTTTCATCTTAAGATGTTAAAAAATGTAATATTTATACACTACCAGATCTATAATACCGTTAATTGTAAATAATCATACATTAGTCTACAGATTTACAATAAAGAAATTTATCTCGAAATGTAATATTTAAAAATACACAGTTCTATTTCATAAGGATTTAGAACATAATAATATATTTTACGACAAAAAAAAAGTGTTGCATAAAAATAAAATAGTATGTATACTTACAAAGGCAGCGTCAGTATTTGAATAATGCAGCTGCAGAAAAAAAGTGCGCATGCGCATCCCATGTACAAACGGAAGTGCGTGTTGTGTTGACTTTGGTAGTGAGTTTCCAGGTCCTGCTTGGTAAATCTGAGAAAAATAGGGTTGATGTCTTCCGTTGAACTCACACATTGGCTAAGAATAAAAAATGTGGAAATATATTTTTTATAAAGGTTGTAGTTAATGGAAGAAGGACATTTTATTAGATATTCAACTGGAGAGAAACGTCAACGATTTATTGACTAAGTGTGTACCTTTCAAGATACGCCGAACGTGAACGGTTTATTGGTTAAGTGTGTACCTTTCACCAGATTCACATTTTATGTGACGTTATTTTTTGTACGCAGTTAATATTTTTCAAATACTATAATTTCTCAAAAATAAAGTATTTCAGAAAATTCACACCAAAATGCGTAATCATTTTTTGGAACGAAGATAAAATTGTGATATTTTTATGTGAGATTGTTTCTCGTGACATGTGATAGCCTTGAGAGTGTCGTGGAGGTGTCTTTCACTAAGGACATTGTGTTACTACAGTGTCACATACTATACTCACACGCTACCCACACCAGCGAACATTCCAGTCAACGGAAGCATGCTCTAACAACCCACTACTTCTTTTCTTTTTGAATTATAAAAACGCAAATGTGTGTTTTGTATTTTATAGTGTTTGACAAAAGTAAAATAAACACTTTACAACTGGGTATTTGATGTTATTACTCTAAGAAGTATTGAACTCTGCGTGATAGAAAAAGGGCAATAAAAAACGTAGTTCACATATAATGATAAAAACTATTTATTAGATATTCATTTGTTTTTACAATATTTTAGCAAATTTTACTTCAACGTTCAAGCTGCTACTTTTAGATATATAAAACAACTTTCATGCTTGATAATCCTAGTATCAGATGAAACCATATAAAACTAGAGTACGTCAGTACACAGATAAAGTAGAAAATATCACCATTGTATCATTGATATATTAAGTGATATATCACATTAAGTGAGACTATTTCATCTGTGTATCGTTAACTGAGACTATCTAGACTTAATAAACGTGTCTTTGGCTGCGACTATTTTATTAGAATGTAATAAACGTATCTTTGGCAGTGACTACTTTATCTACACTTAATACATGTGTCTTTGGCTGCGACTACTTTATTAGAACTTAGTAAACGTCTCTTTGGCTGTGACTACTTTATCTAGACTTAATAAACGTATCTTTGGCTGCAACTACTTTATGTAGACTTAATAAATGTATAGTTGACTTCGAGTACTTTATGTAGACTTCGTAAACGTGTCTTTGGTTGCGACTACTTTATTATAACTTAATAAACGTGTTTGGCTGAGACTACTTTATCTAGGCTCAATAAACGTATCTTTTGTTGCGACTATTTTATTAAAAATTTAATAAACGTGTCTTTTGGCAGCGACTACTTTATTAGAACTTAAACGTATATTTGGCTGCCACTACTTTATCTAGACTTAATAAACGTGTATTTGACTGCGATTTCTTTATGCAAATTAATTGATAAACGTGTGCTTAGCTCTGAATACGTTTTCTGTGGTGTTCAATACAAATTAATTGTCAATAGTAAAGCCAAACTGATCTCTTAATTGAGCCTTATCTGATGAAATACAAGAAGCAAGGGGTTATCGAAATTTAGTATATTCAAATTGTATGTGGTGGATTTTGATACACAAGAGATAACAACTTACCGATAGCTGATGATAAACAAGAGATAAGGTGTTACACCTGATGACATAAGAGATATGAACTTACAGCCGATGATACAAAAAAGTTAAAGACTTATTGACAGTTGATGATACACAGAAGATAAGGGCTTAATAATGACAGATGATAAACGAGCCTTACTTCTTGTGTATCATCAACTGTAAGTCTTTACCTCTTATGTATCAACAGCTGTAAGTCCTTACCTCTTGTGTGTCATCAACTGTAAGTCCTTACCTCTTGTGTATCAATATTTGTAAGTCCTTACCTCTTGTGTATCAATATTTGTAAGTCCTTACCTCTTTTGTATCATCATCTGCAAATCCTCACCTCTTTGTATCATTAACTGTAAGTCCTTACTCTTTTGTATCATCATCTGCAAATCCTCACTTCTTTGTATCATTAACTGTAAGTCCTTACTCTTTTGTATCATCATCTGCAAATCCTTACTTCTTGTGTATCATCAACTGTAAGTCCTTACCTCTTGTGTATCATCATCTGTAAGTCCTTAATTCTTGTGTATCCTCACCTGTAGGTCTTTACCTCTTATGTATCAACAGCTGTAAGTCCTTACCTCTCGTGTATCATCAATTATCACTAAGTCCTTATTTTTATCTCTCGTGTATCGTCAGTTATTACTAAGTCCTTATCGCTCGTGTATCACCTGTCATTACTAAGCTCTTATCTCTTGTGTATCATCAATATTACTAAGTCCTTACCTCTTATGTATCATCATCTGTAAGTCCTTATCTCTTGTGGGTCATCTGTCATCATTAAGTCATTTTTCTTGTGTATCATCAGCTCTCAATAAGAACCTATCTCTCGTGTATCGTCAGCTGTATTTCCTTTTCTCGTTTGTAACATCAACTGTAAGTCCACATCTCTTATGTCATAAGGTGTGAGTAACACCTTATGATAAGGATTTTGCGATAACAGATTATACTTACCGACAATTGAAAACGTTGCTAGAACCAGGAAAAATGTTACCCTCGATCAACGCTAGACTCTAAAAAAACATCCATTAAGAAAGTGTAAGAATGTTGTTACCGCTTACTAAATGATTTAACAAACTAATGTAATAATAATAAAGAAATCATGAGAAAACGTAATTAATTTCTTTTTGTTTGTAAGTTCAAAGCATTACTATTGATGTTGTATATAATCTAATATTAACCATTAGCGAAAATTAAGAGTCTTTTAAACTGTGGTTTAGTAACTTAGTAATTTCCTACTGTTTATATACTGATGCTTCAAGCTATTTCTCATTGTTTTAAATAATAAACGTTTAAGAGTATAAGGGCTACTTAACAGACAATTTGTATTTCTTACCGTCACGCCAATACTTTTGGCAATTTCTGTTTCAGACATATTGGAAAAAGGTATTTCTGCTCCCCAACATTCCACTGACTTGCTCATTTTAGTCATGGACTTAGGTCTGACCATAACACTTCTCCTCTTGGTCGTAACCCCATCACAGTTACCACTCTAGAATAAGAACCACATAACAGGTAATGAATGTTTACTGTCACTACAACCCAAACTTTGCTGCTCCCAAGTAATCAATCGTGTACTAACACACATTAAAAAGATGTTCCATAGTTTATAAACTCTAAATGATATATAGTTCAAAATAATATAAGGCAAAGAAGAAGGTTGCTATTTAGTTTGTTGTTAAGTTTCTGAAGAGTAAATAGTGGAAGGAAGAAGGATGTTATGCGGTTTGCTATTACTAGACACATAAGTCTCCCAAGAAAAAAATAACGTAAGGAAGATGGTTGCTATGCAGTTTGCTGTTACTACAAGGGCATTTTTGCATAGTTTGTTGTTTCCAAGGGTATGAGTATTTATAAAGATACAGAAGAACTATGAAGGATCTGATAGGGTGAAACTAAAGTATTAGAGACAAGTATAGAGTAATGAATAGAATGAAACATGTACCTTTGGCGGTATGATAAGATACGTTTCTACTTGATGTTCTCCAAGATACTGATCACGTAAATGACCATATCCTGGTTCGACCTCGAAGTTATTATCTAGGTGGTGAAGAGTTGTTTGGGTAATGTGGACACGCCTATATCCGGAGAACAAAAAAACTTCTATCAATCTGTATTCCAAACACAGTATACTGCATATATATATATATTATGGTGACTTTTTTATCTGTTTTGTTAATGTTTACATTTTATTACGAGTAATCTTTAGCAGCTAATCGAATTGAACGTGTATTGATTTTTTGTGCAATAACTTTGCTGTGGGCTTAATTTAAAGGTTCAACTGATATTTATAAGTTAACATGAATGGCATTTATCAGTAATTTGTTTCAATTCCTAGTACAGTAATGATACCTTTCTTTGGCACAGTCTAGAGATTTAATATGTGACATTGCTCTGTGAACGAAAAGGCCGAGCGTGGCCCAGTATAATCATGCCAGACTATGAAGTTAAGATTCTGTTTTTCGAGTACCCCTAACTCAAAAAACAAACAAACATCGCTTTTCATACCCCAAGGATGCGTTATAAGAGTAACACTGAAATCCGGCTATTCTTTTTAGAAGAGGTTTCCAAGAGCTGGCATGTGGGTGTTGTTGATGAACCGCCTTTTCTATGTTCTATCACTTCGATTTTAGGGACAGCACGGCACGAAATCCAACAAACAAAAAACTCGGAATTAAATATTACTGTAATTTCGTTTCTATCGTACCAAGTCGTTTCACCCTTTTCTGCGTTTCGTATCATTACACACGCGTAACAGTGTTAATAGTAACGTTGTATTGAATCCTGAAATGGAAAGACCTTTTAGAGGATCTTTATTGGTGACCACTATTTGGAGGGATCTTTAAGAATCTACACTGAATATTTTTTCAGGTCTGAGAAGCTAATGTGAGCGAATTTGTAAACTAGGTGGGAGCGAGGCTGTTGACTCGTGATATTTCCAACATGTATCATCTCCCAGCAACTAATTATCATGTATTTATTCTCGATATCGAGTTGTATTAACTCCCCCAAATCAAGTTGTATTAATTTTCCCTTATCAATTTGTATTAACTCCTGCTACCTAGTTGTATTAACTACCCTATCTAGTTGTACTAATTCTTGCTACCTAGTTGTATTAACTCCCCTATCTAGTTGTACTAATTCTTGCTACCTAGTTGTATTAACTCCCCCATCTAGTTGTACTAACTCTCTTATCTAATGGTATTAACTCCTCTATCTAGATGTATTAATTCCCCTATCTAGTTGTACTAACTCTCTTATCTAATGGTATTAACTCCTATATCTAGTTGTATTAATTCCCCTATCTAACAGTATTAACTTCCCTATTTAGCTGTATTAACTCAACACTCTTTATCTAGTTGTATTAATTCCCTTATCTAGTTGTATTAACTTCCGCTATCTAGTTATATCATCTCTCCTATCTATTTATATTAACTCCCCATCTAGTTGTATTAACTCCCTTAGCTAGTTGGATGAAATCTCGCTATCTATTTGTATTAACTCTCCCTATTTAGTTGTATTAATTTTATACTATTATAATGATAAAATACCTACAACAAGCTTTTCGATGATCTCTACTTTCGTTTATTTCCAAAGACACAATCAACAGCTTTACAGTTTATAATTTAATATGTCTTATAGCCTCAAACTCTCACAACTAAATTATTTAATGATCTATAGTTTACGTTTTCGGAAGAAAGAAGCCACTAGCAAGTGGTAACAATCTAATTTCGTTTGTTTCACAAAATGTTGCATCAACAAGAAGCCCTTATTTAGGAGTATCTTTTAAAAAACAACAAATTAATAGAACCAACTGTTTTATAACACTGGAAAAAATGGTTTTGCTACTGGAGAAAACTCAAGTGGTTCAGGGTAATTTGATGATGCTGATTTCAAACATGTAGTTTGAATTTGTCCCTCACCTCTAGATTTTGAGTTATTCCAATATCTCAATATTTTATTAGCTTTATGTGAAATACCATGCAATCAACTCAACAATAGATTCATGCTGTAAAATTAAGTTTACTTGGACAGATTAATGAGTGAAAAGTATACATTTTTTATCATTTCAAATATTGGCTGTCTTGTATTGGTGTAAAATTCCAAATATACTCTTGACATATGCTATTTGTTCTCTATATAACTGTAGCAAATTGCACCACATTTCCTTCATCCCCACGCTCACCTGCTCTGCCCGGGAATCACGAAACCCTCACTTGCTCAGTTTGCTAGAACTTTCGAGAAGTTCCTCGATTGAGCATAAAAGGGGCAGAGTGAAACGCCACTCTCTCATTTGCTTCTGACTCACTCAGTTGGTCACTTTGCCTCGCTCTGTGCATAATCAAAACAAATTCCGACCTTCTTCCTCCCATCACACCCGCGATATAATCAAATTATGCTTTGTTTTTTAAATCTTTTAAGCTCTCATTATGTAAACACAAATTATTTTATATATTTTTTAAATCATTACCAATGCTGTCTGAATCCAGTTCAAGTAAAGTCGAAAGTGCAAAAACCACACAAAGAATTTCTGCTACATTTGTAGAAAATATATTACAGTTTCACGAAGGACAAAATCGCACACAAAGTAAAGGTAGCTTACCACTGTTTTGAGTGTAAAATTGGTGACCAAGAAAAACAATTGGCTCCACATGTGTGTTTTACAGTTTGCACATCTGGCTTGACACAGTGGCTCAATAAGAAGTCAGCAAGTATGCCATTTGCAGTTACCGTGATATGATGTGAGCCCAAAGATCATCTAACTGACTGTTATTCTTGCATGTAGTATTTCCGGATATTTAGATGACACTAAACAGTACATTAAATATCCAGGTATTGCGCCTGCAATGAAACCAGTACCACATGGGGTGGTCTTTCAGTGCCACATCCAATGAAACCAGTACCACATGGGGATGGTCTTCCAGTGCCATATCCAATGAAACCAGTACCACATGGAGATGGTCTTCTAGTGCCACATCCTATGAAACCAGTACCACATGGAGATGGTCTTCCAGTGCCACATCCAATGAAACCAGTACCACATGGAGATGGTCTTCCAGTGCCACACCCAATGAAACCAGTACCACATGGGGATGGTCTTCTAGTGACACATCCAATGAAACCAGTACCACATGGAGATGATCTTCTAGTGCCACACCCAATGAAACCGGTACCACATGGAGATGGTCTTCCAGTGCCATATCCAATGAAACCAGTACCACATGGGGGTGGTCTTCCAGTGCCACATCCAAGAGCGAATTGGGAAACAGAAGAGTTATCCTGCGAAGAAGACAATAAATCATCTTCATCCTCTTCAGTTTGTAATTATGTTCCTGTAGAACCTCAACATAACTGTCTCATCTGGTCATACAAGAAGAGCTAAATGATCTGATTCGTGGCTTGTCTCTATCAAAGCAGCATGGGAACATCTTGGCTCTCGTTTACAGAAATTGAAGTTATTAGCTCCAGAAACAATAGTTTCAGTTTACCAAAGTCACCATTAAAGTCTTACTTCGCACTACAACATGTAAGATGCTTTGTGTTTCTGTACAAATGTCGATATACTAATGAAGAATTAGGTACTGAACGTCAGCCTCAAGAATGGATACTTTTTATCGACTCATTTAAAGTTAGTCGAAAATTGTACTTTTACACAATGAGAACACTAAGCCATCGATACTGTTGCTCATGCTGTGAACACGAAATATGATTACGTGTTATTTTCACGATGTATAAGAATATTTTGAAGAAATCTATCAGAACTTGAAAGCTAGTGATGATCAAGAATTTTCATCATGATTTTTAGAATCAGCATTTTGAAATTACGCAGAAACAGTGGAAGCACAGAATTATATTTCCTGTTCCTGGTGTAATCTTTGATCCGCTAGTTCAGAAAAGCACAAATATCTAATAATCTGCTAAAAGTGAAACGAAATTTATCACAAGACGATTTGATTGACTCATATGTATAATTGAAGAAAGAATATAAGGAACTTTACAAAGTCAAACAACAACAAGTAAAGAAGTATCTATGCCCAGAAAAAACAAGCGGGAATCCTCAACAGTCGTGACACTTGAAATTCTTTTAGGCAGTATTAGAGTAAATTAATCTATGAAGCCTTTTCTTTCTTTTTTATTACCTATATTTTTGTGTGACAACTATACCAAGCATGGAGTGCGAGTATATCCGATTTGGTTTTATTACTCACAAAGATCTGTACCAGTCTGAACTCAAATTGAAACTCTTTTAGGCAGGATTGGAGAAAATTAATCTATGAGACCTCGGACGTAGTCAAATACATCAATCAAAAGGGTTTGGCCTCCTGAGTCCAAAACTGTGATTAGATCTCAAATCGGTCAAGAGATGGCGGAGATATGAGCTACAAGTTTGTACTTGAAAAAAAAGCAAAAACTCAGAATCATTCTATGAGCCACTACGCCATGGCTAAAATCATGAAGATCGACAAAAGTTAATGTTTTGTTTTATGTTCCCAATAGTGTTTTGCTGCTTTAAAGTTTTTGTATATCGTATTTTGTAGGCATTTTCGGATCTAAGCAAAAGAACTTACAATCACTATAAAATCCTCTACTGTGAATATGTATGAGACGTATCAGAGCACTTGTCATATTGTTACTTATAGAGACCAAAAACTCCACATAACACCTTCCCACAGTGAATCTTAATATATTATTCAAACTTACCCAGGAATTCCATCATCTTCACATGATATACCAACGTTACATCATCACATCACACGTCATATTGTCACTTATGGAGATCAAGGACTTCACATAACACCTTCCCGTTGCGAATTCCATTATATTATTCAAACTTACCCTGGAACTCCACCCGACTCCATATGATTTGCCAATGTTACATCATCAGACCACACGTCATACTGCCACTTGTGGAGACCAAGGACTCCACATAACACGTTCCCACTGTGAATCCCAATTCGCATGTCCACATTGACGTCAGTTGCTTCTCGTACAAACCTATATAGTGTAATATAACAATAACATGTTTATCTTAACCTGTAATGTATAAATATGTGCCCTCAACAGCAATATTATTACAAACAGTTAATAATATACACCAGTAAAATAACTCATTTTCTTTTTAGAACAAGTTATGTCTACGTTTTAAAATTTTTGTGTAACTGTACAGTATATGTGTTCAATAATAAGTAGCTCTTATCAGATGGAAGAGGAATAGGCCTTATAACGTTATATGTACATGATATTAGAAAATAAGTATTAAACGATGACATCTACAGCAATAGTTAAGAACGTGCTTTGTATGGTTTGCAAAATCTAAGAACTACCATAGCCAGCCAGTTGGATTTATGGTGCCACAAAAACATGGGCTCATAGACCTTCAAAGAGGCTGAATATAGGCTGCCCTTGGGTGATAGTAATGTCCTGAATATAGGATACAGCTTTGGTGGAATTAATGTACTAAATATAGGATGCAGTGTTGGTGGTATTAATGTCCTGAATATAAGTTGAGCTGGTATTAATGTATTGAATATAGGATGCAGCTTTGGTAGTATTAATGTCTTAGATATAGGATACAGCTTTGGTGTGATTAATGTCATAAATATAGACTGCACTTTGGTAGTATTAATGTACTAAATATAGGATGCAGTGTTGGTGGTATTAATGTTCTAAATAGGCTGCACTTTGGTGGTATTAATGTATTGAATTTAGGATGCAGCTTTGGTAGTATTAATGTCCCGGATATCGGATGCAATTTGGCCCTATGAAATTTCTGAATATTGGTTGTACTTTGATGGCATTAATACCCTGAACATAGGATGCAATTGAGGGTATAATAGTACTGAATATAGGATGCACCTTCGATGATATTAACGTCTTGAATATAGGATGCAGATTTGGTGGTCCGAAGCATCCTAAATGACGCTGTAGGTGATCTACAGAACAAGTGAAACACATCTTAATGCACTGATATGTAATATTGACCTCCTTACCGACATATAACGCTCTTTGCTTTGGTGTCTTTGTAAGGAATTGTTAAACAAAATACATAGCTGGGATTTAATCCATCAATCATGACATTTTCAGAACAGCAGGTAAGTAGATCCATTATGAACAAGGAGCTGCATATCGCTGAACCTTATAGACAGATTGACACTATGAACCGGGAGCTATATATATCGATGAACCTTATAGACAGATTGACACTATGAACCGGAGCTATATATCGCTGAACCTTATAGACAGATTGACACTATGAACCGGGAGCTATATATATCGCTGAACCTTATAGACAGATTGACACTATGAACCGGGAGCTATATATCGCTGAACCTTATAGACAGATTGACACTATGAACCGGGAGCTATACCATACTTTTCTCCCATGATAATTCACCATTCCACTTTGTGAGCGTGTCCAACAGAGATTTAAGACATTTGTATAGAATTTACTTTGACGAGCCAGGCACCCAAAATAACTTCTACTGAAACACTCTAGGAAGTTTTGAACGCCATCTCGAAGACAAAAAGAACAAACTCAAAACTCAGAGAAATGGTATTTATCAAAATGTTTACTAATGCTTGTGTTAGCCATGCATTTCATACTGTAAACAGCGCTAAACATACGGCCTATTTCCGAATAGTTTGGGGCAACAGTTTTTTTTCAAAATGTTAGTTTCGAATACCTTCCACAATAAGGTATATGTAATGAAGCATCTAGTACTACACCGTGACCCTATATCTTACAACAACATGAGAAACACTCAATTAATGTAAAGCATGTGGGCCAAATATGGCCTGATAATTAGCATATGAGGTTGTGATCGAAAGGTCTAGAATCCCAGGCGTGATGCTGCTAAATACGTCCTGTATTTTCAATTTTGGACACATTATAAAAGTAACAGCCACTCCCGTTATATGTTTAAAAGAGCTATACAACGTCCTTGTGGTTGCAGGTGCTACTGATTAGCTGCCCTCCTTTTGGTCATTAGTTCGAAGTCAGGGACCGCCATACCATTTTTCTGTAATATCATAGTATACAGAAGTTCTTATAGGAATTTACATTGGGCAATAACTTTTATAAAAACACGAAACTTACTCTTTGAATGTACAGTTAGTAATATTATTAATATCCATATTATATATTTATGGCAAAGCTACTAATGCCATCTGCTGTCCAGATTGACGGCAGCTAATCAGCACACTGTCCATCCTAAAGAATTAACTGTCATTTTTATAACGCACCTACAGCTTAAAGTTAAAGGAATAATTTGTGCTATCGCTCGGATTCAGACTCGGTTCGCCAGATCTGAAATCCAGAGCTCTACAACAAGGCCAACAACTTATCATTAAATCTTTATATAAACATTACCGTATGCACGTGGATTAAACATGTGATATATGTGAAGGTGTAGGATTTTATTGAATTACCCCTTACCTTATTGCCTCGATCATCTGTAGACCCATCTGGACACAGTTGTAAGCGTGGCTAGGCCTGGAGACGGGTAGTCCTGATACACAGTAGTAGCAGTCGCCTAGAATCTTTATCCGCATACATTGGTTTTCCTAGAAAGATCATTGCCGATAAATTATATATTTATCTGGTGGCTAAACCAGTTTGAAAGAAAAATACGTTTGCTTCTTGGGTAAATTGAATTTGAAGAATAATATTTCTTTCTGGGTTAGTGAGGAGAGACTACTAATAGATAGCCCAAATACATTATATGTCATTGAAAAAAGCCGAATAAATAGTTTGACCACTAAATTTACAAATTTTCTGAAGTTAAACCCGATGAAAATTTTTTGTTATATCCTAAAAGAGAATCAAGCAATTCAGTGTTAATCTTGATCTTCATTTCTTTTGTTATTTTAACCCTAATCAATAATACGAGTGTCTCTTATATATCACATACAGTAGTTCGTTTTTCTTGACATTAAAGGATTAACTATTGTTAGTTTTCAATCAGAAGCTTGCGCCATATTGCAGATTGTAAAGATGCAGACAAGGTAGTTTGATTCTTGTAGGAAAGAACAAAGATTTTTGTTCATTTACTGACTGCGTTTAATTTGCTCGTTGACATTTCACTCTTTCATCGTAATTGTTGTTTTATTTCATGAATATTGAAAAAAATAAAAATAAATAGACTCAAAAATCCGGGAGTAAACAGCTCTATAACTATTTTTCTTTTTACAAGTGGGTACTTAACTCAGGCTTACTTATTGTAATATAGCGTTAGTACTGTAATCTGGCCACTAATTTGTACTCATGAGAAGGGGTTGGGTCGTCTCCTTTTAGCTTTCCATCCCATCTTTTAAAATGAAACTGAACTCATCGAAAATGCTGCTAATCTTGGGTTAAGGACTTTCAAGTGTACTTATTTTCTGCAGATAATTAGAGGCTTCAAATTTAATGAGCATTCTAGCAGTTGCTCAAAAGATTGGTTGTGTAGTAAGTTCTAGTCAACATATGGACAATAATCGTCTATCATATACAAAAATAGAGTACCACAGCAGGGAAGGCTAAGATTCGCTTGCTCTGTTTAATAGAAAGATACGAACATACCGTTGTGAACGTGTCACTAAGTATTTAGACAAATATCTTCACAGACGTGAAAACGTATCATTCAGTATTTAGAAAAAAGCGTGCATTGACTGTTGAAAAGGTATCGTTCGATAGTTATTGGTAACATAACATAATATTTTGGGACAACATGGAATCTATTGGTCCATCTCGGTTGTTGCATCCTCAAATTAAATTAAAATGATAAAAAGTAAAATATATTTTTTAAACCCAGCTCTTTTCATTCATATACTTATCAAGC